TATATTAGAATGCATTCTTTAGATTATTTGGGAAAGATAGATAAAAATACATTAACAATCTTCCATGTTTGTATCCCTAGCCTAATATACTTTACCTTTGTTGAGTAAGTGTTATTTATGTATATATACATCTATATGCATAACTCACCTATCTTTTTATGTAAAACATCACTTTTATGAACTCGCTGAATCTGAAAAATATAACTTCCCTAAAAACAAAAGTTATTACTTCTTTTCCTTTAACACACAAAAAAAGTGAACAATACAACATTGTTACATTTACATTGGTATATGGTCACTGACATTCACCCTTTCTTGCTAATGAAAAGAACATACTCAGACCATATACCTGTAAAACACCCATTATATCTGGTATTTTATCCAAGGTTTCTATATAGCTTATATTCCTGCTTGGTTCCCAATGAGCAAGTTATTCCCTCCTTATCTTTTCCAATTCGAGGATTCGGTTAATAATATCTTTTAAAAGTTTAGAATTCCTTTACAACCTCATCTCTTTCCAGTTTCATTTGCTTAACCTCCCTGGCGGTATTCCCGAGTGTAGCTCGGGGTAGAGTTTCAGTACCAAAATACGGTAACTCCGAGCTACACTCGGGCTTACCATGCGGTGTTGCTCATGGGAGTCCCTGCAGAGCTTACCTTGTCCTTCGCTCCCGCGATGTGTCCCCTGCAGTGTCCCCGGCCATCTCCTCTGGACGATGCCGGCATCCGGCTTCTGTGTTACGGTCCCTGCGACGTCGGGACGTACTGGCACCGCCGGTGGCACGGCGGGAAATTTTAAAATTTAAAAAAATTTCATTTTTTTCAAAAACAAATTTTTTCATAGTAAAACATTGCTGTTTCAACCCATTTCACATACATTTTGTCCCGAGTGCTTTGTCCTGCGCCCTGCCTGCATTTTGTCTGTTCTTTCTGCCTGGAAAATGTGAAAACGTCCATGGCATCCAAAAAGTGTCCCTTTAGGTCAAAAGCAGTTTTAGATCAGCTAGAGAAACAGCGATAGTAAATCAGAACCACTTGCAGAATTGATTCGTGGGGGAAATTCCTCCCACACTGAAACGATTTTTGCGACTTTGCTCAAACAATGTACAATCTTGGCGCTCTATTTCAAATTTCAGTGTTTTCGGTTTGATTTTATTATTGAATTAAATGTATTATTATTATATTATTATTTTTTATGATTATTTATTAAATTATAATTTATCATTTCGTTGGAGTTTCAAATTTTATCATACCCGGAATGTTTACTAGACTCTTGTTCGGGACAGATTTCAGTGAGTTATTCCTAAAAATTACAGCCTACAATAAAAAAAACTACATATTTCCATGGAAAATAATGGTACCACTTTCAGCACCAAAAATCTGAAATAATCAGACCGCCGAGGAGGTTACCGTATGTTTCGCCGTATAAGACGCACTTTTTCTTCCCCAAAACTGGGGGGTAAATGTCAGTGCGTCTTATAAGGCAAATATGGAGCGGCCGGTGCGGTATTTCCACCGCGGCCGTGTCAGAATACCGGGCCGGCCGCTCAGCTCTGCAGCGGGACCTTACCTGTTCCTCTATCCAGCGGCCGTGCTGTCTTCCCGGCTTCTGTAGTGTGGGCACTGGCATGACAGCCACGGGTGCCAATGTGCGCATGCGCAAGAAGTGGTTGTGCGCTTTGTGAATGGTAAGGTGTCGGTACCTGGGACACATGACAGATTCCCAGAAGCCACAGGACAATCACAAAGCGCAAGTGCTTCTTGCTCATTGCGCACTGGGCACCGGCTGTCTTGCCTCCGAGCGCCATTACAGAAGCCGGGATAGGGAAGACAGCGCGCGGGTGGGATTCTCGAGGAACCCCAGGTAAGATTATAAATAAATAAAAACTCTGCGGAAGTAAGAGCGAGGGTACCTGTCAAATTCAGGTACCCACTCCTACCTCCCCATAATGGTCAGCAGTCCATCTGTACTGTCCGCCGAGTCTCTGGTCATCCCTGTGCTGTCCGCTAGTCTCTGGTCATCCCTGTGCTGTCCGCAGTCTCTGGTCATAACTGTGCTGTCCGCAGTCTATGGTCATCCCTGTGCTGTCCGCAGTCTCTGGTCGATCCCTGTGTCGCTGTCCGCAGTCTCTGGTTCATTCTTGTACTGTGTCTGCAGTCCATTAGTTCAGAATTTTTTTTTTTCCTGTTTTCTGCCTCTAAAACCTTGGTGCGTGTCTTTATGGTCAGGTGCGTCTTATACGGCAAAAAAATTACGGTAATTCCAGCCTGTAAAGATTCACTCTCGAGCATAATCTTTGGGGAAGTGGGATGCATGATCTTGACTTTTGTAGTTATTACACCTGGGGCATTTTCCCCAGCTTAGTGAGTACACCTCAATATCACACCTCTTTGTTCTATATTGATTTTGTTTTACCATCTTTTCACCAGAAGAGGCCAAAACAAAATCTTGCAATGTGGCCAAATAATCCACATGTGTAACATTTTATGTTTTTTAAAGTATTGAAATGCCGCTTAGCACGAGGCTTGGCTTTAGGCTGGGAATATGCCTTGGCTGAAACCTGATTAGCAAACTATTTCTGGCTTCTTAACCTCCCTTAGCGTTGTGATTATGTCCATATTTCTGTGCTCAAAGCGGTACATTTTTTTGCATGGAAATATGTTGTTTTTTTTATTTGCAGGGCCTGTAATTCTTAGGAATAAGTATCACTGAAATCTCTCCGAACAAGAGTCTTTAGTAAACATCCCGGGTATGATAAAATTTGAAACACGAAATCATAATTTATAATATTTTGGTAATGGATTTGGTAAAATGCCTATTTCGTTTCCTATTGAATATATATATATTTATATTACGCTTATTTCTATAAAGTTTTATAAATATTTACTTTTATACTTTAACTACAATATGTTGTCGTGAATATTTTCTGCCTGCTGGGCTTTGTGGTACTTTAAGAAATCCTTGCTTAAGAAATATTTGCTCACAGGAACACAGACCCCCCTCCCATCCCTGTGGATTTGGAAGACAAAAGAATGTTTTTCTCTTTTTAGGATAAGGACTGAAGAAAGATCACACACTATACCATGACGGAGATTGTTTTCGTGTGTAAAGTGGACCCATCAAAGACTAATATAATGCTTATAATTGTTATTCACGTGAATGATTCGGCATCATTATTTTTTAAATATATAATACTCACGGTTTCATTTCAATAGGATTTGAGAGAAGTTTTCACAGACCAAGGTGTCAAGTGTGAGTTTACGTTTTATGTGCGCAACATTCAAGAGCTGGCCTGCATTAATTAAATAGGACAGAGAAATCAGATAAGCCACTGGACGTTTTAAGTCCATGACTAAAATGCAATTTGGTGCTCGAAATCACTGGGAACTGAACTAATGAACCTTGCAGCCAGCACGCACATGGAAAAGGCGTTCGGTTTGTTGTCAGTTCAAACTCTGGACCAGGCTCGGATGTGCCTTGATCACCTCTCGGAAGCATCGGTAAGCTATATTTTGCTATCTACCATTGGCTTTTCACTGATACTTTGTTTGTTTTGGATTCAGTACCTGAGCCTTAGTACGGCTGCTATAAAGGTCAATAAAGGCAGGTAAAACTTGTATGCCCGGTAGTTTATTTAATATTCCTACCCTAGCATGTGCCTTATCTGTTACCTGGGTATCTCTGTTGTGTGTTTTTATGTAGATTCAGTCTTGAGGTGGAAGAGGAGGTGGGCACCTTTCTGAGGGTTTTGACACATAATTTCTCTGGGTGTGTGGTAACACTCTGTGTGTTTGCACACAACAGGAGTGGAGGTGTCGGATCATGCGTCACTGGTAGTGTGACTAGCGGGTGCCGTAACTGTTTGTGTGGGTTTCGGATTGACGTTATCTCAGTGGTCTGTACTCAGAGCCCACCCAAGATAGACTGCTATGTATATGTCCCGTGAATGTGTGTCTGTAAGCTAATGTTCTGCCATTCATAACAGAAAGGTTGGGGTTTGTTAAGGGTTAAGGAAAGTCTGGACAGCAGCCTGTGAAGTGTCTTAGATTTCCTGTTAGGAAGGACAGAGAAGGGGGGAGGAGATGGGTCAGACGCTGATAAGACCCCTAGAAAGGAATGTTAGCATGTGACCTGGTTGCAGAGAGAGAAAAGAGGGAAAAGTATGTGGACATTAAAGATAAGGAGGTTATGGCCGGAAAAAAAAAAAGAGAAGAAAGATGTCTTAGTTGAAAAAACATGTGCTTGAGGACAGCAAGAAGTTTGGTATAATGTAGCCGAAGTTATCCACAAAGAGTAGGAGGACAGAACAGGTATTGCTACAGGGAAAAAAAAAAAAAAATAAACTGTTTATGTGTTTCCATTAAATGTGTTAAAAATATTGAAAAAGGATTACTGGCATGTCATTATTGTGAAGGGAAGTGAAGCAGTTAAAGTTATTGTAGTAAGTAGCGAAAGTTTGTAAGCTGAAGTCAGGACTGGCATAAATCATTGTAGGAACAGAGAGGAATGTTATGTGATTAAAGGTTTGCTGAACGTGACAGAAGTTTGGTACAGAATCTGGGAAAAGTGTTGTATAAAGAAGGATTGTTGGAAGAAATTCAGGAAATGGGAATAAGTTCATTGTAATGTATTTGTTCACCAAAATTGTAAATGGAAGTGTGTGTTAAAACCCACCGCCCTATGTTGGACATGTGGGGTGGAGGAGGGGGGCGACAGCACTGCCTTCATCTATTGCCTACTTCTATGCCACCACACCCAGCCCTGCCCGCATGCTCCACTTCCTTGAAGGCAGCCAACTTTGCTGCTCCTGTTTTGTCCAAGTTCCTGCCCTGCCCAGTACTACTTCAGCTTCCGATGGCAGCCATCTTGCTGCTCCTGTTTTGTCCTCTCCTGCCCAGCCCAGTACACTTCCTGGAGGCGGCCATATTGGTTACACCCAAATTAGAAAAAATGGAAGGCCAACGACGCTTGAGTGAGCCGCCTCTAACCCAGTGTGTCCGTGTCTTACAAGTCAATGGTATATTCTACGTAGCACCGGATGTGCTGAGCAGAATCCCAAAGTTGTCTATGGTTCCACTAAGGACCCGAAGATATTGGATACGTTTAAAAAGGTACCCCCCAATTATGAGAGTGGAACTGAAGCCTGGAGCTCCCCTTACCCAGGAAACCACAGTACCCCTTACTGAAAACCAGCTCAATCCAAGGCCATTTCGAAGCAGGTCAAGTCCCGTTGTGGCAAATGGTGCACTCATACCTTGTACCTCTCCATGTTTGAATACGCCATTTTGTTCCCGATAAGAAAAGAAGACACCAAAGGAGAACCAGAGAAGTACAGGAGGATACAGGACCTCCGAGCAGTGAATGAAGCCACTGTCTTAGAGATAACCTATCGTTCCAAATCCCCACAACTTTACTCACAGGGTAATCTCCAAAGCAAAAATAAAGGAATTCACCGTGGTGGACCTGGCAAATGCCTATTCTCCAGCGTTCCCTTGTATCCTCCCTGCAGATACTTCTTCGCTTTTATCCATGAGGGGCAGCAATACACCTGGGCAGTTATTGCCACAAGGGTGGCGCAAAATTTCCCTGAGTCAGTTTGCCTCTCAAAGCCATGAATCCACCATACTGGGCACGTGGCAAAAGGAACTTTTCGGCAGTGGTCCTTCTTCAATATGTGGATGACTTTTCCTCTGTGCTGATGACCTGCCCACGGCTGAAGAAGCCTCAGAGAGTTTACTATGTTACTTGGCACAACCAAGGCTGTAAGGCCTCTAAACCCGAAGTTATGCAATGGTGCTCTACAACAGTCGTATTCTTGGGCCACTGTCTATCTATCACTTGGAACAAGGCATCTTAACGGAGGAAAAAGAGTTAAGGCCATCAGAACTTGCCACTCCTTTAGGCCAGGAAGCCACTCCATGCCTTTCTTGGCCTACATTCCTACTGTATAGGTCATGGATTGCCTGATGCTTTCTTGGTTTATGCAAACCACTCTACGATGCTCTCAAGTCTGAGCCCTTCCATCTGTCCGAAGAGGCCCGACTCCAATTTTTTGGCTTCTAAAACGCTTATTTCTTCTTCAGCCCCCCCACAGCCCTAGGTCTACCAGACTACGTGGAAACCTTTCAAACTGTTCATGTCTGAACGCCAATGGCCATGGCACAGGGGGGGAGTATTTGGCCAGTCCCACGGAGACTGCCTACGATCCTATTTATGTTTTAGGCTACTACTAATGCCGTTTTGGGACCCAAGTGGCTAGAGGAGCACCGTCGTGTCTGCGTGCAGTTTTTCGCTGCTCAAGCTCTTGCTGGATACGACCTCTGATATCGTACTGGGACATGAACTTGTTCTTCTGGCGCCGCATGACATTGCTGCCCATTTTAAACCAAGTCCAACCTAAACATTTGTCCACAGCGAGGCATCTTAGACTACAGTGTTCCCTCCACCTTCCTGGATAAACGTCACTCTCTTACGTTGCCAAACCCTGAATCCGGCCACTCTCCTCCCAATTGCTGAGGGGGGGAAAAGGTAATGCAGAAAATGGAGAGGATGATGGAGCCACTGAGCCTCATAATTGTCTTGAAACGAATGATGAAAAATGGAAATCTTCCATCTCCCCACAGTGAGTGAAACACCTCTGCAGGATCCAGACTTCACTTTCTTTGTTGATGGTTCCAGATATGCAGATGAAGGAGGCACATATTACAAAGGATTTGCGGTCACTACTGCAGACACAGTCCTACAGGCAAGAGCCCTATCGACCAGCAATATTATCTGCACAGGGAGCTGAACTTCAAGCACTCACAACAGCATGCCAGATGGCGGAAGAAAAAGGGCCAATATCTACACAGACTCCAGATACGCCTTTATGGTGGCCCATGACTTTGGGACCCACATGGAAGGCAAGAGGATTTATGAACTGCGGCAGGTACGTCATATAGACATGGAAGCGCAGCCATTGGACGACTGCTGGAAAGCTCTCCTTCTACCCATTCAAGTGGCTATTCTGAAGGTAAAAGTTCATGGGAAAATAAACTCCTCAGAAGCCAAAGGCAATAATCTGGCAGATTTGGCGATAAAACGAGCGGCCATGGGACCACCAGAAATGGAAGGAGAGGTGACCGGAGAGTGGGAACACCAATGTTCACCTTACAGA